CATAATGAGGCTGGATGTAAGGAAGGAATTTAGCAAGAGTCAATTTGCTGTTCATAAATACACTGTGCACCACTGTTTTTTAAATTAAGTACACAGCTACCACAATAAGCTTCATACCTTGTAGTTTCTGCAAGCTGGACACCTGAGCAAACACGGTACGTATTTCAATTAGCATCAATTCAACAATAAAACAAATGCCATCTAGGCAGCCTCAAAAGAAAAAAAAAAGAATACCGATATGACCAATAGAAGTTCATTCCAATTAAAATTATCTCGAGTAAGTGAAAACTTGAGGCTCTGGAGAAACTATACGCCACTTCATAGTTCATATCTAATGCATATGGACTAACCTATTCTGAATAGTGACGACTTATAATGATTAACCAATGGAATATAATATCAAAATAACTTGACATGGAATATTTGGAAGACCAGAACATGGACATTAGAGTGAAAAGGATAACAAAAGGATGCTAATCATTCAAGTCCTTGATTCCCCATAAACAGGTCCATGTGTATTAATCAAATCGTCAAGTTCCATTAAATCATGTGAGGTACAGTATCAATGCTCATATAAGTGTATTATTTTTCCTGTTAACATCCAAAAGAAGCATTTAAATATAACTCAATCTCATGAAGCTAAAATTTCAAAAAGAGATGATCTCTGCAAATTAGAATTAAACGGCATGGCATTTATAGCCCAATGTGGGGAACAGTGGAACTTACATAGAGCAAAAATGACCGTACTTATGCTTTTGAGAAAGTTCCGCACACCCCAAATCACACAAGAAATATCGCATCGAAGCAATACTCTGAGTAAGTGGCAACACTGAGAAACTATATAGTGATAAACTTACAACCCAGTCAATTCCTCTTTCATCATTACAGTAAATGCTCCACTGATTTTCCATAATTAACTGCTGGCCTACATCCGATTTAGTCCTACATATAACAAATTTCCAAGCTTCGGGGCTCATTCATGTCTGCACCTTTCTTCTAGCTCACAACTTCACAGGTCACAGTACTACAACACGGACAACACTCCCAGGGTCGCATCCTCACATGACATTTCAAGGTAGTACGAGCGAAGCATTTATTGGTTACTCTCATCGAGTTTTGAACAACACGCATCCTTACTCCTTCTCTATTCAATGAAATTGGCAGCTTGCCGATTCGTTCAAAAAAAAAAAAAACAACACGCATCCATCCCACCAATCAGACCTTGCAACACCTACACAACCCTACATGCTTGAAACCCCAAAAATTGTGGATTATATTGGCATTCACTTGCTCACAGACGACGAAACGAGTAAATCATTTCGATTCTATAAACCATACATCGGGGAAGACGACGAAACCCCGCAGTCGCATCTCACGCCATCGGACTACCACGATTCTCATCCACTTATCGATTCTACCAAGTACTACAACTAACGCCTCAGTCACGAATCGGGGAGAAAAAAACGAGTCAAAGGCGAGAGTCGAACCAGTGGGCGAAGAACTCGACGACGGCCCAGGGCTCCAGCGAGGCCTTGAGGAAGGCGTCGAAGTTGGTGGCGTTGAGGTCGACGGCGGCGTCGGCGTCGACCTCCCCGGGGCCCTCCCTGCCGCCGAGCGAGCGAGCGGCCGCCCCGCGCGGCGCCGCGGCGAGGGAGGCGGCGGCGAGGACGAGCACCAGGACGACGCGGCGCGCCACCGCCGCCGCAGCCATGGATCGGGCCACCGGATCTCTCTCCCGCCGCCGTGATCCGCTTCGGACACCTGCCCCCCTTCTCGTTGAGTCCTAGTGGTGGGACTAGGCTAGAGGGGGGGTTTAGATTTTTCCTTTTTTTTTCCCTCTCTTTAATAAGAAATTGCTTTTTCGCGCAAATAGCTATGCGATTTCGAGAGGCGCGCTCTGATTGGGCGTGGGGTTATGCTTGTCGTGGAAGCTAACGATGCTAAAGTGAGACTTTCCGTCGCTGACAGGTGGGGTCCATACGGGTTGGAGGGAGGTAGGGCCCACATGCAGTTGCTGTAGTTGGGCTGAGTGGCTGGCTGACTCTAGTATGTGTTGCTGGGTTGGGTGGTATGCTACGTTGTGCTTTTTGAGAGTCAAACAGGGTGAACATAAGAGTTCTTTGGAAATAATACTTCTAGTCTTGTTTTTTTTTTCCTTACCTAATTTCGAGTTTAACATTTAGAGCAGGAATCTTGTTTGCTATATCAAAATTTGGTAGGAGCTTTCACTTTAATTATATTTCTTGGAACTTTTTGGAAATATTGGTGGACAAATTTAGGATCAAGACAAATGCGACGATTTGATACATAAGTCAACTGTAGTATGCAGTGTTAACATGTTAGGTTTGCGTGAGTTACAACTTACTTGTCAAATAACTGTTGCAACAGATTATTCAAAATAGCAAATAATTGAAGTCCTTGTTAAAAAAAATGGATTCTACTTGGTTGAAACAAGATTATTCATCATAAAAAACAAAAAGAAATAAATACCATAGTTAATTTTTAGTGACATATACACAAGTACCGACATGTGTTACACAAGTACCAACTACTATCTTTTAAAGTAATATAAATATAGATAATTTTATCGTTAAATCAAAAGAGAATACCACTGCTAGAGAACAGTCATGTTTTTCGCGGATATTTTACACGGTCTATAGTGCGTATTCAATACTTATCTGTGAAAGGAAAGACATTTGTCCTGCAAGAGAGAACGTCTCTTCAATTATTTTTTTTCTCATCTTAATTGTCTATACTAATATAAAAGATGGCAGTGGTGGTCACCACCACCAGGCAACTACCATGCGAGACCCATGAATTGTAAGTTGCTTGTCTCTTAGCCTCCACATGCTATAGATCATGTCGACATGAAAATATGACAATAGAATATTATGAAATTTTCATCTTTATAAAATGATAGCAAAATTAGCATAATGATAAAATATTAAACAATTAAAAAAAGTCATTGCAACGCACGGACATTATACTAGTTATTGAAAAATTTATAGAGTAGACCAACATGTGATATGCCAACAAGTATAAATTTAACCATGTGCTATAAATTTTCCCATGTTAGGGCCTGCTCACTTTGATGCCATTTTCAACCATACCATTTTTTGGTAAATTTATCAAAAAAATGTCTACGTTTAATTTTTTGCCAAATTTGGTAAATACATAAGAAATCCTGCCCAAATTTTAGCAAGATGGTTTTTAGCAATATTGTCATCTTGCCGAAATTTGGTAAGGTTTATTTTGGCTATAATCTGAACGGGCCCTTAATTTTCTTAATTTTTTTCCATAGCTTTGAATGACATGTCAAGAAACAAGTGGCATCACCGATAGAGAAAAAAACCACCTTGGTCTGTCAAGTTGTGTATGGTTAATCACCACTGCAGTCTATGCTGCGTATTCAACTCACATCTATCAAGTTGTGTATGGTTAATTACCACTACAACCTTATGCTGTTCTCCAAGTATTTATTCCCATTTGCTCATATATTTTTGACTTGTGACAATTGGTAAAAATATATGAAAAAATCCCCGCATTGATTCCAGTGAGGTCGTCAACTCACCAATAACATACGCTTTATGTGGTGGACTGGTGGTATATATCTGTTAGTATGAACTTCCTAGAATCAGCCTCTCAGTGCACAGTAAACAAAAGAACTGAACATCCACCAGTAATCTCTCATGATCAATGCATGTTTTTATTGACTCAACCATAGATGTTTCATGTTTGTAGTTAAACCCTCTATGATCTGGCCATATGCACTGGCACTGCAATGCACTTCTAATCCAACAAAATCCTGCCATTTCGTCCGTGTTCTCTGCTTTTATCTTGTATCTCTACCACCAAATCACCAATCCATCTATGACAATATTCAACCAAGTGAAGACATGTTGTACCAGATGCTTGTCACAACGATTTACAAACAAGTGATCTGTCAGATTTTGAATTCATTCTGAAGCATGCATGCATCTTGTGCAGGTTTTTGAAAACTGTTCTGATTACAAATGAAGGTAGGAGTACTATACTATCTTTCCGCTCAAATTCAACGAGCACGCGTGCACGCCAACGAGGCTTCCCCTAATTGGCTGATCTGTCGCACTTCGCGCCACCGATTCATCCATCTCTGAATGACTGAATCTGATCTGTCAGATTGCCTGATGGTTCTTGAGCAACCTCGAAGCTATGCCATTTGGACCAACATAAAAGAGTGATTCATAGAGGCCATCTGGACCATCCCTATATGGCTAGACACCATGGCTTCAGTTTGCTTGCCCAATATCTGGGCTTTTGGCTGCAGAAAAGAAAAGGGATTTTACTAATCATGTCAACTGCTGAACAGTTATAAACAGCAGAAGCAGACTGAACAAGATGGCAACTGCATATATGAACATTCTATGGCATGACGTGAATTCGTAGCCTGCACGTGATGCACAGCGTGCTGAAGATTTTCCTCTCTTGAATAAGACATGTACCAGCGATGAAGCGATCGATCTCATGATATAACTAAGTTCTTATGCGAGTATTTCAACGGAACGCATGCAAGTATGTACGTGGTCGTTTCAGTCGTCATTGTGAAAATTTCGATTTTTTACAAGAGCAGTAAGATCACTGTAAAACCAACATCGATGAACAAGGAAGAACAGCAAAATTCAGACAAACACTGCTCTGAACATTCTTTGTTATTCTCTTCTGTGCCTGCTCTGTCCACGCATCCAGCAGCTTAGTTTCAGAAACTCAGAGACAAAACACAATCCAGACATATCCATAAATCAAAAGAGCACAATTATGGTGGCGATTAGCTGTTCTAATCTAATCGCCATGAAGCCAAGCAAAGGTGGCTTTCCATTCCTGCCGGCGACGGGAACATGCTGCAATTGGACATGTGAGTGCAGCAGAGTCAATCCCCTGACCGGTCTCAGCTTCATCGTGCATGCGGGTATTGCAAATCCTGCACTATAAATCGGCAAAGCCACGCAGCACCCAGCAGAGCAGCGCAGAGCACACACCAGCATCCACGCAGCAATGGCGGGGCCAGCAAGATGGGCTCTCCTCCTCCTCCTCGCCGTCGCCCTCCTGGTGCCCGCTGCGCTCGCCGCCGGCGGCGGCGGCAATGGTGGCGCGTCGGCATCGACTCCGAACAATGGTAACGGTGGGAACAACGGTAACAATGGCAACAACGGCAACAATGGCAACAATGGTGGTGGGAATGAGAAGCACGAGAAGTCCCCGCCGCCGCCGCACCACGACTCGCCACCGCCGCCACGTGCTTCACCGCCCCCGCCCGTTTACTCGCCGCCGCCACCACCGCCGCGCTCATCGCCTCCACCACCGCCTGTTTACTCGCCGCCACCACCGGTGTCATCGCCTCCTCCACCCGTACCCTCGCCACCACCACCGGTGTCATCGCCTCCTCCACCCGTACCATCGCCGCCGCCACCGGTTCCCACGTCGCCGCCGCCATCACCGCTGCCATCGCCTCCTCCACCTGTGCCCTCGTCACCGCCACCACCAGTGTCATCACCTCCACCACCGGTGCCCTCTTCGCCACCGCCGCCAGTGGTGCCATCGCCTCCTCCACCGGTGCTCTCCTCGCCGCCACCACCAGTGGTGGCATCCCCTCCACCACCGGTAGTACCATCACCTCCTCCACCAGGAGCCAGCGACGTGGTCTACTGCACGAACAAGACGAGGTACCCCACCTGCACCTCGCCGGCGTACTGTCCCAGCAGGTGCCCCAAATCCTGCCACATGGACTGCGCCACCTGCAAGACCGTATGCGGTAAATGCATATCTGTGCACGGTAACTAGCAAGCAAGTGTTCATGCACGATTGATTAATGGTTGTGTCGTCGTGTCGCGTGCGTTGCAGATTGCAACCTGCCGGGCGCGGTGTGCCAGGACCCGCGGTTCATCGGCGGCGACGGCAACACGTTCTACTTCCACGGCCGCCGTGACCGCGACTTCTGCCTGCTCTCCGACGCGAACCTGCACATCAACGGCCACTTCGTCGGCAACCACGTCCCTGGCCTCAAGAGGGACCCGACCTGGGTGCAGGCGATCGCCGTGCAGTTCTCCGGCGGCCACCGCCTCTACGTCGGCGCGCGCAGGACGGCCGTGTGGGACGACGACTCCGACCGCCTCGCCGTCGTCTTCGACGGCGAGACCGTGCAGCTGCAGCGCGTCGCGCACGCCAGGTGGGAGTCGGGTTCCGGCCTGTCCGTGACGCGGACCAAGGCGGCCAACGGCGTCCTCGTCGAGCTCGACGGCGTGTTCAAGATCACCGCGAACGTGGTGCCCATCACCAAGGAGGACTCGAGGATCCACAGGTACGGGGTCACCGACGATGACTGCCTCGCCCACCTCGACCTGGCGTTCAAGTTCTACGCCCTCACCGACGACGTCCATGGCGTGCTGGGCCAGACGTACAGGAGCAGCTACGTGAACCGGCTCGACGTGTCCGCGAAGATGCCCGTCATGGGAGGCGAGAAGCAGTTCACCTCGTCGGGTCTTTTCGCCGCTGACTGCGCCGTCGCTCGGTTCGGGCGCGCCGGCGATGCCGGCGCCGTTGCCGTTGCCTCCGAGGAGCTGGTCGACGTCAAGTGCTCCACCGGCCTCGACGGCGTCGGGGTGGTGTGCAAGAAGTAGGACAATTTGCTCTCTCGCAGCGTTCAAGTTCTCGAGAAATAATTAGTATCGGCGTCCGCGTCTGCACGATCCAGATGGACCCTGATCATCAATTTGTACTCCATGTTCAGCATGTAACCGTGTCAAATTATACGTAACTCCTGTTATACATCACATTATATATTCAAGTACTATATAAAGGCGCTGTGCATATTCGCATGGGCTAGTTTATCATATATGTTTTATAACTGTTAAGTCCATATTATTTCAAAAAAATTATCCTGAATATTAGGGGACGGTATCCCGTCCACGGCATCGGCACGGGATCACCCACTCCCCTTACCCATTGTGTCGATCGTTCGCACGCGCAGCATAGACGCGCACATGTTGGCGAAGGTAGAGCAGGACACCGAGTCGGAGCTAGAGCCGGGGCTTGCAGCCGCCGTTGCTGCCCCACTGCCTTTGGAGGTGGACGTCGGCAACCGGATGGGCGGGAGCTAGGGATCTAGAGTGGCATCGGAGGAGGAAGAGGTGCATGGGCGGATGGTTGTACCGTGCACGTCGTTTAACCTCCTATTGATGTTGAGTCCAAACCATCCTATATTGTTGCCGGATCTAACAGCGAAAACTTGAGCTTGAACTCTTGCACCACTGCACGAGCTACCTATACCTAGCTGCTCGCCCTCTTCTCTCATACATCCCTCCTCCTCTCTCCTAGGCTCGAGCTCAAGGTAGAGCTCTCTTCCAGCGGCACCACAACCCTTGTGAGCAGCTCCGCGATGCGGAGATCTAATTCTATAGATGGTCAAATGTACCGCTCGGCCCAGGCATGACCAGGCACGGCCTGAGATCAGTCTAGCAGGCACTGTCCAACCGACACGCCTAGTCGTGTTGTGCCCGCCCACGGGCCACGGGCTACACCAACGGCTAAGGCACGGCTCAATAAGACTCGAAACGTGCCGGGTCGGTCTGAAGGCACGACAAGCTCACTATGCTCCACCTTGTAATAAGTCTATTTGCCCCCCCCCCCACCCTATCTCTTTGGACCGTGTCTTATATGGTTCAAGCAAGTCTATTTTGCATCCCTCATCTCTTTGAGTTACGCTTATATGGTTGGAATAAGTCTATTTTGCCTCCCTCTTATTGGACCGGGCCATGCAAGGCCAGCACGTCGTGCCAAGGAAGAGGCCCAGGCACGACCCAATAGGCGGGCCGTGCCGCGCTTGGGTTGGGCCAAATCTCCATGCCGTGGGCCGGGCCATCGGGTTTCAGGCTTTTTGGCCAACTATATCTAGTTCCGTGACTTGCTCCGCGTGGTGAAGTTGGTTGTGTCCCCGAATATGGTCCAGCTAGCACCTAGCACCAATAGCTTCGAATGGACTATGATGCAAGCCATATCCCACTCGCGGCGCTTCTCAAGGAGCTCTCCGCATCCTACCGGTGCGTCATCGTCCTGCACACTGTGTGTGTATCTACATTGACATCAGCAAGAAGATCAGAGGTAGGCTACACATCGTCTCCTTATTCTTTCTGCCATGGTTTGTTTTGTCTCAAGCTTTGTCCTCTCTGACATTATGAGTTGCCGAAGAAGGGGGGGAGAGAAGGAGGCTTGCCAGTGAAGGGATACACGCTCCTTCGTCGTGCCATCAAGAAGCCTCGCGCTAGTATTGAGGTAACAATTGATACTGATGGGGGTACCCAAGTCTCGTATTGAGTATCTTCTTAGTATCGATAGGTATTAGCGGGTACCAATGGGCATCAGTTAGTACCTGTCGGATATCTAGCGGTACCAATAAGGTACAAGTTCTGATATCGATAGGTCTCAAAATCTGCTTGGTGTCATCTCACCGGACGCGATCTTGTGGTACAGCGACCTCCCAATTTTTATATGATCTGTTGTGATTTACGAAATTGAATTCGTATAATACGATGTAATCGTGTTTGACTTGGAGTGTTCAAACTTCAAACTTACATTTTTTACACCGTTTTTTTATGTAAGCCTTGGAATCCTATGATAACAAGGATTAGACTCGACAGCAACTTAATGGAGTAGATAGATTAACACACTACATAGCGTCATAGCCCCCACATGACCGTACATGGGCTGTGCTAGATTTATTAAACTAGGACCGGATTGACCGGCCCATTCATAATCTGGATGTCTTGAGCTAATCGAGCTAGCTCCTCCGGTCCTTTGGAACGTCGTACATGGTCGACAAAATCCTGGAGGCTCCGATCCGACGAACCGCCGTCGGCAACCGCCGCCGCCGCTTCTCGCTTCCAATGCATCGCCCTCTTCCGGATCACCGCCGCCTCCGGCCCGCTCATCACGCGGTCGACGCACGCTCGGAGCTCGCCGCCGGTCACCGGCGCCGGTAGCCGGACGCCGACCTTGTAGTCCTCCACCAAGAACTTGGCGTTCGCGAACTGGTCGGACCACCACGGGTACCCGACCACCGGCACGCCCGCGGCGAGCGCCTCCATGATGGAGTTCCACCCGCAGTGCGTCACGAAGCAGCCGACGGCGCCGTGGGCGAGCACGCGCCCCTGCGGGCACCACGCCGTGATCTTGCCGGCCTTGTCGCCGCGGCACGCCGCGAGGACGGCCTCCGGCACGAGGTCGCGGCTGTCGTCGCGCACCACCCACAGGAACGGCCTGCCGGTGGCGACGAGCCCCTCCGCCACCGCCGCCGTCTCGTCGCGGCCGATGTTCACGAGGCTGCCGAACGCCACGTACACCACGGAGCGCGGCGGCTGCGCGTCGAGCCACGCCACGCAGCGGTCGTTGTCCTCGGCCCCTAGCGCCGGCGCCGGCGCGCCGTCGTCGCCGCCGCCGTTGTCATGGCCATGCTCCAGGAGAGGGCCGATGGGCGCGAGCTTGACCGTCGTGTGCGCGCGGAGCGCGTCGACGGCCGAGCGCTCGAGCTCGTAGAACGAGTTGACGAGCACCCAGGACACCGTCCTCTTGATCGCCCCGACCTGCGCCCGGAGCGTGTCGCCCCACAGGCACTGCGCGTACTCGGGACGAACCATGAAAGGCAGCTCGACCATGGCCATCACCGGCAAGCCGGGGAGCTCGACCGGCACGTCGGGGTCGGCGGCGGTAGGGAACGCCTCGGGCGACTCGTAGAAGTGGTAGTATATCGACAGCACGGAGCACGGCTGGATCCACAGCATGGCGCACGGGATGCCCATCCCGGCGGCGACGTCGAGCGCCCACGGCACGAAGATGTTGTTCACGACGAACGTCACCGGCCGGCCGGCGTCGGCCTGGCCGTCGATGAACTCGGCGAGCGCCGATGGCCCCACGGCCGTGACGTGCGACAGCACGTCGTTGGGCGCCAGCTGCTGGCACCGCTCGTCGCCGTCGTCGTCGTCGTCGCGCAGGTACTCGAAGCGCAGGCGGCCGAGCCCGACGTCGGCGCACGCGCCGTCCTCCGGCACGTCGCGGAGGCGGCCGCCGCCGGCGGCGAGGCGGACGGTGGTGAAGGTGACGAGGAGGCCCGTGGCGGCGAGGCGGCGGCCGAGGCGGAGGAGCGGGTTGACGTGGCCCTGCATAGGGAAGGACACGAGGAGGACGTGAGGCTCCATGGACCTGAGCGCCTTGTTGCCTCCGGCTCGTGTCGTGTGTTTTCCTCTGAAACCTACAAGGGTTGTAGCGTTTGTTGTGTTGGAAACACCGCAGGTTTACTTGCTAGTTCAGCTGCTTCTTTGCGTTCGGTCGATATATATATATAGGGAAAGAGGCATCTCTGTGTGAATAGCGGCGCACTGTGCCCACACTTGCAACAGTGTTTGAAATACCGGCGTCGTCGAATTATTGGATTTGTTTAATCGCTTGCCAATTTATCATATAAAAAATTAAGCCATAATTTAAAATTTTAGGAGTTGCCAAGATAGTTAATTAATTAAAGGGCTTGTTTAGGAGAGTTTCTGACACTGCAGCTTCTCCGGTTAGAAACTCCTCCAAACAATATTTTTCTCCTAGATTTTAAGAATATGTAATTGTAGAGTTTAAAAAATGAATCAAAAACTAGAAGCTGGGAAACCATTTTTTTAAGATTCTCATCAGTTATTTTTCAGAATCTTAAGTTATCTCAAATACGGCCAAATACTATTAAAAACCTGTCGAAACAAATATAGTAATTTTTAAGTTTGAATTTGTACATATTCTTCAAATTCATATGCTTCCGCCCGGCCGGCCGGTCCCTGCTCCGGACGGTTAATAGGCCGGTGGTTGTCTTGCATGCATGCAACACGTTAGTTGTAACACTGCCTCAGTGCCACTGTTCTTGCCGAATTTTCCACGTGAGTGTACTGGATCGGAGCATTGTTTTTCAATAAACAACAGTTTTCCTTTGCGAGAATCATGCGCATTTAATCTATCATATTGTTTGTAGGCTACTCTCTCTCCATTTTAAAATAAAATGTAAAATATTTAAGGTTTATCTCCACGTTGAACGTTTTCAAGTTTGAATAAATTTATAGAAAAAACCGCAACACAATTTTCAACATAAATTAAACAAAGTTTGTCTTAAATAAAACGTTTTTTAGTTTGATTAAATTTATAAAAAAAACATAAAACCATCTCCTACATATTAAAAAAAACATCCGATACATTAATAATTAATCTGTATCTAGGCCAACTCAAGTTACATCAGTGTTACATCAGTGACATTAATTTCCTGATTTACTTTCGACAATCTTATTATCCAAATAATTAGTCTACACAAATGCATGTCGCATTTCTCTATAGTTGATGAGTACGTATCAACTACCATGTTTTATAAGTCGTTTAATTAGGACAGCGACATGGTCTCCAAAATACAACTTTAACTTCTTATTTTCATAAAAATATTTATTGAAAAGTGATATATGTATACTTTTATGAAAGTATTTTTCAAGACAAGTCTATTCATATATTTTTTACATTTTTAAACTCAATACTTAAGAGATGTCGACGTTTGATGTCGCGATTCCGGTATTTGCATAGTATGGGGATCGTTGGTACTAGGGTATATACGAGACTGAGGTAAAAGAGATGGAGACAGAGATTTTTATACAGGTTCGGGCCCCTGAATTGTCAGGTAATAACCCTACATCCTGTTGGCCGAAACCGGTATTGCTCTTATTCACCATAATTACACCAGTACAATATTTGGGATAGCCTATCTAACTGTTGTCGATATGGCGGTCTGAAGGTCTAACTCGTAGTCAACAACGGGTAGTCTTCCTCCTCGAGTTCGTGCCCGACGATATCAGAGACAGCGCTAAATCCCTACGGCCGGCCTCTGTAGGTACTGGATAGGGCCGATCCAGGCATATCTCTGATGTCGATATCCAGCGTCTTGTCTTGGCGTATGTTGGCTTGTATGTTGATCTTCTGTCTTGATCTATTGTTCCGTGTCGTCTATGGTGAGTGTTTATTGTCCCCTCTCCTCCTAGGGGGCCTTGTATTTATACCCATAGGTGTCCCCTTGTCCAAGTAGAACTAGGGAAACCAATATGAATACAATCCGAGTAGTCCTTGTCGTTTCCATGTAGAACACTGGTTGTCTTTCCTTATCCGGAACTCCTCCTATATCTGCAGGTTGCTTCCATATAAGACATGGTATGTGGTGGGTCCTGCCGAGATTTAGTCAACTACTATTAGGTATGTGGTATCCATAACCCTGACAAGAGTTATTTATGATTTATATCAATGTTTGACTTAAATATTATTCTAAACAACTTTCTTTATGATTACGGAGGGAGTATGCAGTTCATGCTGAGTCAGTGGTGGAACTGAGGGGGGGCTGGCAGGGGCCATGGCCCCTCCCAATAAAAACAAATTTTTTTATTACCCCCATATATCATAGCAGATTCAGTGAACAAACAACAGAGCTTCTCACTTTGTGTACATCTTTGGATCCAAGTGATTTATTCAGTTCATTCAACATTGATAAAGTGTGCTCTCTAGCTTCAAAGTTCTATCCTGATGATTTTTTAGAACAAGAGAGAGCCAATTTGAGATGTCAATTACTCCGTACGTCACTATGAACTTGATGTACCCACTAATCCTAAATTTTAAAATCTGACGTCTGTAGCTGATCTTTGTCGTCGACTTTTGCAAACTATTCGCTTTTATGTATTACCAATGCATGAAAAAAAAAGAGAAATTGCTAATTTTTTAAACTGCCAAAAGCCAGCTGTCCCCCTTTGATTTTCTGTCCAGCTCTGCCACTGTGCTGAGCGTGATTATCGACCACGTGGACAACAATAAGTACCTTGCGGATGTCCAATCAATAGCGCGAAAACAAATATTTAAATCATCGTGAATCATTTCTCTTTCAACGCACACTCGCACCAAAAACAATCGGTGCTCTTCGCGAGCACGTAAATGTGTGTTACGTATATGGTAGATTTCTGTTTTATCTTATTTTTATACATGCAGATCGAGGAGAGTTTTCCACGCACATATATAATCACGAAGTCCTCAGTTCCTAACTATACCTTAAGTTTATTATTCTTTTATGCATGCAGCCCAAGGAAAAAAAGAGGTGTTAGCTCTTACTCCCTCCTTCCCAAGATATAATCATTTTTAGAATAGTGGTAAGACAAATCTTTTTAACTTTGACTATTAATAGTAAAATATTTTTAAAAAATCAAATCATGTAAAATTGATGTTACTAGATTTATCATTAAACAAACTATAATAATATGTAAAACATTTTATTGAAAACATATTATTTTTATAGATGTTGTTGGTCAAATTAAGTAGCATCTTGAAGACTGTGTTGAAATAAAAAATGATTATATTTTGGAACGGGGGAGTAGGTAACATAAAACTTATTTTTTCCGATTATATGGAAGATATATATACACACACGGATCATCATCACATATGTACACATATAACATGACTCTTTAACACAAAGCTCCATATACGAAGAATCTAGGGTAAATTGGTGAACCCTACTATGGGCCTGTTTGGGGAGCTTCTAGCTGCTGCAACTTCTCCCAGAATCAGAAGCTGCCCCAAACAGTATAGCTTTTGGTCAAAATTATGAGAAGTTGTATTTGTAGAATCCAGAAAACAAAATAGAAGCCAGAAGCTGGAAACCCAGCTTTTTTAGATTCTCATAAGCTGGCTATCAACTAGCTAATTCTCAGAATTTTAAGCTCCACTAAACATGACCTATATTTTTAATGAAAGGGCACTTGTGTGTATATAATTGTAGGCAACAGGATTCAAATAATAGCATATAGTGTTTTGTGTCAATGACTTCACCATTATAACTCTATTGCTTTTTCATATAAAAGAAAACTTTATACACGCTCAATTATATATAGAAAGGATAAATAAACAAGTCAAAGAAAAAAAGAAAATGGGTAAAAGGGAAGAAAATGTATATCTGGTATATCATCTCTGAATAACATGTGGATAGTATAACTTACAGCTAGCTTTGCTGGCCAAGTGGCTATATGATAGTTTAGAGATAGAGAGAGAAGAAAAAAAAAGCTTACAAAAATATTTTTCAAAAAGAGAATCATTTGTACAGTTTTTTTAATACAAACTTTAATTTTATGAAACTTGTGTTGGTTAGAGAAAAACCAGTTTAACCTAACGTAGTACTTGATCTAGCCTAAAACGTACTGGAATATTTTTTACAACAGAATCATTCGCATAGTTATTGTGCAAGTTCCACGTATCCAAACTTCAATTTGTATCAGCTGAAAGACATCCCCCATTTAAGATAGTACTATATCCATCTTTTAATAAATGGTACCGTTAACTCTTCTGACCATTCATTTTATTAAAAATTAAAGTACATATGGTAAAAGTTTCTTTAATTGTGAAACACACTACTAGAAAAAGGATTTTCGCAGGCGGCCCAAAACCATTTTCGCAGGCGGGGAGGAGGACCGCCGCTATCACATCGACTGTGAAAATAGACCATTTTTGCAAGCGGACCTGTGGCCCGCCTGCGAAAATCATCTCAAAAAAAATAAAAAAAAACACGGGCGCTGCCGCCGGCCTCACCACGGAAGCCGCCGGCCAGGGAGGAGCCGAGCTGCTGCGTCGGCGCCGTCGTCGTCGTCGTCGCTCGTCGTGGACGTGGGAGAGGAGGGAGCTGCCGGCGCGCGGACATGGGGAGAGGGAGGGGAGCTGGCGGCGCGCGGTCGTCGTCGTCGCCGAGGAGGGAGCCGGCCGGTGGCGGAGGTAGGGAGCCGGCGGCGCGTGAACATTGGAGAGGAGGGAGCCAGCCGGCGGCGCGCGGACGTGGGGAGAGGAGGGGAGCCGGCGTCGCGGTTGTCATCGTCGCCGGCGCACGGAGGCGGCGTCGCGGTCGTCGTCGTCGCCGGCAGCGGAGGTGGGGAGCCGAGGAGGGAGTCAGCCGCGGCGGACGTGGGGAGAGGAGGGGAGCCGGCGGCGCGAAGGTCGTCGTCGTGGCCGAGGGGAGCCATCAGCGCGTAGAGCCGGCGTCGCGGTCGTCGTCGTCGCCGAGGAGGGAGCCGGCCGGCGGCGGAGGTGGGGAGCCGGCAGCGCATGGACGTTGGAGAGGAGGGAGCCGGCCGGCGGCGCGCGGACGTGGGGAGAGGAGGGGAGCCGGCGTCGCGGTCGTCGTTGTCGCTGGCGCGCGGAGGCGGCGTCGCGGTCGTCGTCGTCGCCGGCGGCGGAGGTGGGGAGCCGAGGATGGAGCCAACCGCGGCG